TTTTTTTTTTTTTTTTTTTGGGTAAAATAGCACTACACCAGTATTTTAAAGTCCACTACAAGAATTTTGAAGCACCATGCTAGAATTTTCAGTTCTGATAGCATGCTTCAGATTTCTAGCAAAGTACTCAAAATTCTGGTAGGATGCTTAATAATTTTGGTATGGTGCTTCAAAATTCTAATTGCGTGCCTCAAATTCTGGCAGTACGCTTTAAAATTTGACAGCGACTTCAAAATTCCGATTGTGTGCTTTAAAAATTTAGCTTTTAAAATTGTAGCATTGTGCTCCAAAATTCTAGCAGCGTGCTTTAAAAATCTGACAACATGCTTTAAAATTCTGGCAACGTGCTTTAAAATTCTGACAGCGATATTATTTTTCTAAATTTTTTCGCAGCGAAAACAAAATGTAACGGTAGCACTAAATGATCCTATATATTTATGCAAATCTCCCAAACCCAAATAGTGAGTATACTATTTCAAATTGTGATTTGTCTTAGATTATACTTTACTTTTCCCTACCTTTTTCAATGGAGGATTTGCTTAAGGTGTCATATGCATTCCTTCGTTGGAATCTTACCAGCCTAGTTGCATGTCAGTCTTCTCTTTAATGCACCCTCATCAGCCCTCTATCATACCTGTCACATATATCCACTCGTAGTCACACTGTAGGAGTCCAATTCTGATATGAATAATTAACTTAATAGCCGCATGTCCAATTGTTTAAACTAAAACTAGCCGACATATGTATAATATATACAATTCATATATATATATAAATAAGTATATCTATGTATACCGACTAGAAAATTAAATAGTAAATCAAAACAGTTATTTGTGTAAAGATTCCTTCTGATTGTATGTTTGTCACAATTCAAGCCCATTGCAAGCATTGTCTAATTTGGCCTAGCAAACCTCACGAAATTATCCCTTTGGGCTAATACATAATATAGATTCCAAGAACACACATATCATGAGAACTTGTGCTCTTCTTTTAGGGGAAGTTTGACTAAGTAAAAATTGCACGAGGCTTTTTATTTAATCGCCCCCATTTAATCTATACTTATATTTTTAAAATTCTTTAATTTATACCCTAATTTTGACAACTTCAGCCTCCTCTTCTTCCTACTGACTATGTGCTCCTTTCTTCCTCCTCTTCTTTTCCTCTTCTCCTTTTTCTCTCTCAAACACATGACACTCGCATTACATGGAACATAAACATTCTGAAGATGATTTCTCTTAGTACAGCAAATACAAAACAAACCTATAAATTAAAAATATCGTTATCATAGTAATATCACCAGAAATTAGAAAACTCTACCTTGGGAAATAACAATATGAATAAAAACAACAAAATATTGTTGAAGGCACATAGCAACGCGCCCTATTTACAGGCACATTATACGGTACAATGCTACTGGTAAAGGTTCATTTTGAATTGCACCAATTATGTCCTGAAGCTTTGAATTACCATCCACTTTACACATAGTATTAACAATAGATCAGGATTTGGTCGTCATGGGATGATGAAGGCATCAAATCATAAACTTCAACTCCTAGAATGCTGAAGTTCAGCAAATACAAAATAAACTTCAGCTTCTAAAATGTTAAGTTCAGCAATTACAAAACAAAGTTCAGCTCATAGAATGCTGAAGTTTAGCAAATACAAAACAAACTCCAGCTCCTAGAAAGCTGAAGTTCAGCAATTACAAAACAAACTTCAGCTCCTAGAATGCTGAAGTTCAGCAATTACAAAACAAAAGCTTCACCCAAAACATGTTGTGGTTTTATTGAACTGAAGTTTGCCATTACACTATGAAACTGAAGTTTGCGTGATTGCCTTTGCAAGTCATGCCAAACTTCAGGCAAAAATATCTGAAGTTTTGCTTTGATAAGGCTACACTTCAGACAAAAAATTCTGAAGTTCAAACTTCAGACATAAATTTTTGCTACTTCAGGCTCGTATGTCTGAAGTTACCCGAAAAGTAGGTACGCTTGCAATTTTTAGTGCAAAGCGAATATAAGTTAAAAGGTGACCCAAAAACTGGATGTAGATGCAAATTCCCCGGAAAAAAATTACCTGCCCCTACCCATTCTTTTATCACCCAGCCAAGTGAAGCCAATTCAAGCTACTATAAACCAAGCCAATTCAAGCCAAATTAAGCTAAGTTAAGCCAAGCCAGTGAGTAGGTAGGGGTAATTAGTTTTAATTGGGTGGGTATATATTGTAATTACTTTTCAAATGGCTAGAAAATGATAATTAATTTAAGTTCAATGGGTATTTTGCATAAATTGTTCTTTCTTTATGGCATTTCACTTTCCTCTCCTTTTAATTTTCAATGAGAGACTTGTCTAAAGTATCATATGCATCCTTCTTCAGAAGCTTGCAATCCACGAAACTTGTCATTCAATACTTCTCCTTGACTTGTTCCCGTCAACCCAAAATCTATTATGCAAGTCTAATAATTGTCAAAGTTTAAAGATAAACATTGAACAAGAGTTGAACGGTGTTTAAATTGCAGGGAGATCATATGATTGCATCACATATTTTCTATTTGGAATTTTTAAAACACCGTCAAAGTATTAGAGTTATCGCTGAAAGATCCATTATACTTCAAATACAACCTAATGATTCACGCTGCACTCTTAAAAATAAAAATAATAATCAAAACAACCAATTTGTCAAAAAGCTTGATGAAGATGTAGATAATCGACATGATTTGACCTTGTGAAAAATAAAATAACAGCATTATTGATCATGTTGTTTACACTATATAGATTTATTAATTTTAATTTATACTTGTTTTAACATGTTATACTTGATTGGACCATAGGATTACTATTAAGTCAAAAGGAGTTGCAATGACTAATGAGCTCTCAAATTCTTTTAAAATTATTAGGGCTTTTTTTTTAAATGATTAGGTTTATCATTACTATTTCATGATGGACCCATTTTCAGTAATCAAGAAGAAAAGTTTGTGGATTTCGAATACAATATGATTATAACGATATTAAACAAATACTAATGACATGCGGTGAATATGTGAATATCTAATAGTGAAACTAGCTAGCTAGTTTGAGTATTGACTCAATATTATTAATTACATTGATTCTTTTGTTTAACCAATCAATTCACTTTTTTCATCTCTATATATAAAGTAGGAAAATGAGGGAGTGACTTGGCACGCCTAGAATACTATTTATCTTTTTTGTCATTTTTTTTGCCTTTTTCCCTAAATTTTTTCATTAAACTTAATACTCCTGTGAAAGTCCAAAAGTCACGACTAATTAAAACCAACGTTGCCTTCAATATGGACAACCGAAAAGCCTCATTATTTCTTCATAATTCACGCGGAAATCCACGGGTTATGAAATTTCAGGTTTGATTGTCAGTTGTAGGAGCAAATCTTTACAGCGTAACAAATGATGAGTCCAAGCAGATATACCGCTGAAGCTTCTCACCTTCTCCTTTTCATCTTACTTTCGTACAAACTTTTGAGATTAATTAGGGCTCTTTAGCCAATGTTGCATATTGGTTGAAAGTCTTGCACGATAGTTTGCTTTTTATTGCATTTTGCGTTGCTAAATTTTGCAAATATTTTAAATTATTAGAAGTAGAGTTTCCTACAAAATTATCATGATAGGAACTACTCAATTACTTCCCTGATTCTATACAACCATGTTCCTTTTCCCATTAAATTCCATCACTTGGTTGATTTATTTTTATTACTGTAAGTATCATAGATGGCAAAGGAATTCTTGAGGAGAAATAACTGATTCCCCCAACACAGAAGAGAGGCAGACCCTCCAAAGGTCACAGGCAGTAAAATAACTCGCCAGTGCCAAAAATTCAAAGGAAGATCGAGTGCTGACGAGTGAGATTTGGCTCTCATAACGATTAAAATAATGTCAAGAAAAACAGGTTCATTTCTATATTACTCTAATTTCATACTCGGGTATGATTTTGTATATTCTCAATTTCCTCTGGTGTGCCTGTATAGTGACGTCCATTATTTTCTTTTTCTCTTTGATTTATTTGAGGAGGAGCTAATAAAGGAAAACATATTTTTTGGTATTTGTTTGTCAAACTTAAGAGGAGAAGTATGTTAATTTTACAGAATTAATCATAGGAGTAAGAATGGAGTTTCGACTGGCATGAAAATGGGTGTTATTTAAAAAGAAGAGTAATTTTTTTATAATTTTCTTTTTGTATTTGCTGATCATTTTGTTGAAAAAAATGATGTGCTGAATAGGGAAAAAAATAAAAAAGGAAAACATAAGAATAGATAACTGAGAAAAACAGAGATGAAACAAAAAGGGAAAAGAAGATGGATGTGTGGCCGATTGTCCATTTGCTTCTGCTTTCCATTGTTTTAAAAGTAATAAAAGTAGGAGAAATTTTATACTATCTTTTGTGGGTAAAAGATCAAATATATAAAAGTTAATTCAAACACCAATACTTGCATCTTTCAAATTTGAGACTACATTGTTTTGAACCAAATCTAATATATGACGACTGGCGTAATACCATATATATGTAGATGAACATTCGAAAAGGAGTAATTGCTAAAGGAGATAAGCATATATGAAAAAGCAAAAAGTTAATAAGATTATGCTTGGTGGATTATATTTTTTTCCCTTCTAATTTCTTTTAACAGGGTCAAATTGGATGATCAATTTATTTAGCCAAGATTTGAAGAGAGGTACTTCAAATTTTACTTGGAGTTATCAACAACAAGACACAAGAGACACACAAGACCTTTTATATAGCAACTTGCTTCCAGTTTCGGATGCCTGCACCAAAAGCATCTAAACGATTAGAATGCAGGTGCATTCCAGAAAAACTATTTCACCCTTGCATTTGATGTGCATATTACACATTGTTTTTGGTTCTATACATATTTTACGTTTTGATAGAGTCTTTCCTTAATTGGACATGATGAGAACTCTTTCATGTTTCCTTTTCCCTGTCTTATTAATCTTGATAAATATTCTATATTCGGTATTGAGTTAAAGAAGATCTTTTGGCATTATGGTTATTGATTGGAAGATGGACATAGAGCATATTTATATTGCAGTCCTGGGTGTCTGATACTGTAGCTTTGCAATAATACATGTATGATGTTTGTATAGGGTTGCATAACACTCTAGAGCGACAACAAATTATTCAAATGTGAGGGATCGGCAAAATGAGGAAGAGTCCTACAAAAAGATTGCAGAAGATTATGAAAGATTTTCATACAGTGTGACAAGGAATAAAGGTCTTGTAGATTTTATCCAAAAAATACTCATATATTACCATCTGAAGCAAACTCAATAGTACTACGATGAAAAAATATTATGTGAAAAGCTTATAAGCATCACATAGTTTAAGCAAAACTATATCCTTCTTCTTCTTTTTTTTTTATAAGTGAATGCATATCGTTATTTATTTAACACTCGAACAGAATATGCAATATTCATGATTTCTATTTACAGTAATCATTAATTCTATTGGCAAAGTGGGGAATTAATCATTTATATTGCTCTAAAAATGCATAACCTCCAATTAGTCATTTATATTAGAAAGAAGTTTAGAGATCATATCATGTTACAGACAAGTACTAAGATATCATCTATGATTATACATAATATTTCAGTGTCTTCCTCAATTAATCATGGTACCAGAGTTTTCATGATGTTAGATGATAAACTTAGCTCTCAATTTCAAATTCCCTATTTTATCTTTTTGCTGAATTTTATTTCTTCTCTCTAGATTATACTTACAAAAAGTTATTTATAAATTCAATGATGTTTTTAACGACCGCGCGAAGTGCGTGCAATTTGACTAGCTTATAAAATAAAGCCAGGGATGTGATTTGAGAAAATTCAAGTGGTTTATGAAATTCCCACGAAAATGACTTAAAGCGAACAACTTAATTTCACACTCCGAATATTCTAATCTAGACTCAATTATAATGCTATATAGCCGAAGGAAAACACAATTAAGAACACACAGTAATCCAGGATTTTTCATTGATTTATTTCACTACTCACATGCATATAAACACAGATTGTAATGAAAAGTTCACCGTCTATGATCATATTTGAGTTACAGAATGAAAAAATTCGCTCGAACAAATATTCTTAGGAATATTCCACATAAGTTTTTCACCAAATCGAAGAGAGTTTTTTTAGACGCTAGAGAAAGAAGAGAAGAAGCGTACCATTAATTGATAACGTAGTGTACATGATAAATAACATGTTATAACAAAACAAACTACACTAAAGTATAGTTTATTTTAGACCTTCTATCTATATAACAACTTTTATAGGATAGAAATTTCAACAAAATTTCAGATATTGCAAATTGCTATAACCCTTGATCTTGTTAGGTGCACTACAAGAATATTGGCCAATAGCGAGGGGAAATTTTGTCGTTAAAAGTCCAAATTTGGTCCCTATAAGTCAATAACAACCGACAAAAATTCGGTCGTCACCGGTCGTTAAAAGTCCCGACGTTAAAAGTTCACGATCGACTTTCAATACGGTCGTTAATGACCCTTTAGTGACAACATAATTTCCGATCATTATACATTATTTTTAGCGATGCAATTTTCCCTCGCTAATTTGTCATCCAGTTGTTAAAAGTCTTCAATTACAACAGCTAATTTGGTACTTACAAGTGCTTTTAGCGACCAAAAGTCCTTTCGTTAATTGTATAATTACATTTAACAGGCAAATTTCTCTTCGCTAATACTTAATAAACTATTTGAGAAACCTGTTGTTAAGAGTTATGATGACCACATACTCTTTGCTAATGTGAAATTTTAATAAATACAATTACAAAAATTTACATTTCACCAATAGTAATACTATTTTATATGCTTTCATACTCACACCAGAAACATTTAAAAATAAACCAAATAATTGATATTTGTAAATACAAAGAACTAAGCATCACATTACCAGAAAGCAATCCAAATAGTATAACATTATTTTTAACAATTCCTAAAAAGAGAAAAAATAAAATTACATCATATGTACATAGGACAGTGCCTTCAAACCATCCCTAACATAACTGTCACGACCCGGATTTTCTATCCTCGGGAGTCGTGATGGCGCCTACTCGTGAAAGCTAGGCGAGCCGAGCATTACATATTTTATTACCCTTTTGCCTTAACTTTTTAACAATTTCAAATTAACATGTGATCAATAGCAGAATAATAATAAATAAAGAAATGCGGAAGATGAAATCTAATAAATTAACTTAATACGAATACGAATCCATAATAAATATTCACCTAGAACTGGTGTCACAATCTCACGGACCATCTAGGATTACTACAAATAAGGTCTGAACAAAGAAAGTACATGTTTGTCTCTAAAATAGAAAAGAACATAAAGCAACAAAGATATGAAGGGGACGTTAGGGCTTGCGGACGCCTGCAGGACTACCTCGGGTCTCCAATGGACTGAAGGCAGCAACCCCTAGCTAAGGTCTGAATGCTCCAGTACCGGGATCTGCACAAAAGAGTGCAGAGTGTTTTATCAGCACAACCAACCCCATGTGCTGGTAAGTGTCGAGCCTAACCTCGGCGAAGTAGTGATAAGGCTAGGACAAGACTACCAATTAAACCTGTGCAGTTAAATCATATATTGTAAATAATGATAATAGAAACTAGCAGTTAAAGATGGGGAATGGGGAACATGTTGCGGGGAATATCAAGTTCTAACGGAATTTCAATATAGAAGCTTAAAGAATGCCATAATTTTATATCAGCAAGAATAAGGAAATCAGTAACGTATCAATATTCACTTTTATTCTTTCTTGTTGCGGCGTGCAACCCGATCCCAATTGTCACACCTCCTTTTCACTGTTGAATACTCTAAGTCGTCTGTTAAAATTCATCACTCTGCAATTTTCCTTCAAACTCTAAGCTCCCAACCATGGCTGCTCGTACCAGCCTTCTTCTTCGTCGACAACCACTCCCTCTATGGCTAACCCTTCCGCCACCAAAACCACCGTCGACCCTACTGTCCAAACGCCATAACAACCGCGAAACCACCAATCCGGACTCCCTCACGTCCAAACACCACCACCCAAACACCTGTCTGACTCCCTCACGACCATTCCTCCTCCTCCTAGCTCCATAAACCAGTCGTAAAACCAGCTCCAGTTGCACGAAAATGGTGGCTCAAACCCCGTCGCGCTTCATCTTCCTCACCATCTTTCCCAAAACGATCCCTCCTTCCACATCAAGCAGCAGCAACTGCTGCTGCGTTGTCCAATCTCAGTCACGTCCAAACAACCCCATCGCCATAACCAGCTCCGGTCGTCCACCTCCAAATAGACCTCGTCGCCATCGCTGCCTCGTCGCTGCTACTGCTCCGGAACCTCCACTGTTTCAGCAGCGATGATCAACCACCACTGTTTCAGCAGCGTTGATGAACTACTACTGTAACTGTTGCTTCATCTTCTCCACGCTGCTGCGTCGACTGCTCACACTGCTGCGTCGACTGTTGATGCTGCGTCGGTTGCTACTTTCGGTGTCAACTTCTTAAAGTCGAGTTCGTCGTTGAGTTAGTCGTTGAGTCCGGACAGATTTTTTTTTCCCATTTGAGGTTCGTCGAAAAAGTCCATACAATCGAATTTGTCGTTGTTCATCTCCGGTTAGTAGTTTTTGAGTTTTATTTTGTCGGTATTTTGTTTTGATATTTTCGAATCTAAAATCGGCAAATGTTTGTTTTGTTCATGTCTATGGTTAGATATTTGATTTTTGGTTTTATTCATGTTCATATGTTTTGTTAAATTAATTTTCAGATTTCAAAATGGAAGTTTAATTAGTTGTTTTCATGTTTATTTCATGTTTGTATTATTGTTTAGGTAAATATTTGTTAGTTTAATGTTTGTTAGATTCAAATTGAAATTTAATTCAATTTGTTTCATGTTGTTATGTATTTTCCAGAAATTATTAATGTTGTTTGAGTCATGTGAATCTGTCATGTTTTGTTGCTTAAAAAATAGATTTAGTTCATGTTCATCTTTGTTTGAAGTTCATGTTTAAATCCAGTGATTTAATGTGAGTTTATGTTTGTTTTTGATTGTTTGATTTAATTTGAATCATATATTTTTGTTAATATTGTTGTATCTTTGCTCATCCATTTTGGTCTAAATTAACCAGGATTGGTTCCCGATATGGTTAATTCATTCCATTAATTTTGAGTTGTGTTGTTCATCGTGTTCATATGATTTGTTGTTGAAGATTGTTGAGAAATTGGTCATCTTAGCTATATTTTGGTTAAGTTATGATTAATTGAGTGTTTAGAGCTGATGGGGTAATTTGGTAAATTGCATTGCATTCGGGGGTAGAGTGGTAATTGCAATAAGGTCGGAGGGTTAGTTTGGTAATTGAACATTATCTTGATTCTTTATGGTAAGCATGGGGGGACAAAATATAATGGGGTGGAGTTTTGATGTACTTGTTTAACATAATGGGGGACAAGACAAATTATAATGGGAGGGAATATTGTACTTATTTAATGTAAGCATGGGGGACAAATTGTAATGGGTTGTGGTGGAAGTATTTATTTAATGTAGGCATGGGGGACAAAGTTTAAAATAAAGAAAACCTGGGTTAGAATACTCTGAATAACGACGACTTAGGAGGAAAATCTTAGTCTGATGAATTTTACCCATATNTAAGTTTTACCCATAGGAGACGCATTTCCTCCTAAGTTTAATTTTACCTATAGGAGACGCATTTCCTCCTAAGTTTATGTTTCAACCATAGGAGAGGCATTTCCTCCTAAGTTTAGTTTTACCCATAGGAGACGCATTTCCTCTTAAGTTTAGTTTTACCCATAGGAGACGCATTTCCTCCTAAGTTTACTTTTACCCATAGGAGACGCATTTCCTCCTAAGTTTACTTTTACCCATAGGAGACGCATTTCCTCCTAAGTTTAGTTGTACCCATAGGAGATGCATTTCCTCCTAAGTTGTTGTTGAAATCAGGAGCCCGCCTGAAGAGAGGAATGGCGTTTATTTTCAAAATTGTTGTTGAAATCAGGAGCCCGCCTGAAGAGAGGAATGGCGTTTATTTTAAAAGTTGTTTATTTCATGCCAGGCGCCCACCTGTATAACGAGAGGAATACATTCAGTCTTTATATTTCCAGTGTTGAAGTTGGGAGCCCGCTCATATAACAGAGGCATATATTCAGTCTTTTCATTTCAAGTGTTGAAGTTGGGAGCCCGCCCATATAAC